GGAATAATATAAATAAGCTAAAAGAAAAAAAAAAAAAAAAAAAAAGGAAAAAACTTTGTTAAATTTAAAAAAAGGATATTAATCATATAATAAATTAAAACCAATTTTAAAAAATTTCAGGATCATTATTAAAAAAATTTAGTTACAAAACTCTTCAAAAATAAGATGTTTATAACTTTTTTTTATAAAAATAATTAATATATTAGCAGTGTATTATTTTATGTATTTTTTTTTTTTGAATTCAATATTTTTGTTAGTATTTTTTTTTATTTTATCCTATTAATCTAAATCATCATAGTTTATAAAAAACATTTAAAATATATATTTATATTAAAATAAATTTCAAAAAATTTTTAGAAAGATAAAAGAAAGACTACACAGATAAAATGAAATCCAATTTATTATTATGAATTTTTTTTCTTAAAGGAAATATTATGTTAAAGATATTAATATGTATTCAATTAAATTTTTATGTATTCTTTTTTGTAAAATATAATGTTATATTTATTAATTTATATAATTAGGTAGATACTTACTAATATTATAGAACATTTATAATTTTATCACTTAAAATATAAACTTCAATGAAATAATTAAACGATTATAAAATTTATCACAAAAATAGATATTCTTTAAATGAATATTTATAAAAATAAAGTTTTTAAAATTATAAAAATTTATTTAAAGATTAATTTACTTACAAAATGGATAACTTTATTTAATAAATAGATAATTTGTTTAAAATCTTTGAAATATATAATACTTTTTAATTTCTAAAATTTACTTATGCTAATATAGAATATTATTTTTTTAATATTTACTTTTTAAATTATCATTAATTATGATTTTTTTTTTTTTTTTTTTTTAGAGTTTTAGATATATTAACTTTTATATATTGTTTCATTATTTTTTTTAAAATAAAATATATCTGTGTGGAAAGTCAAAAAGGTAGTTCTTTTTGTTTGAATTTCTTAATTTTAAAAATATTTTCCTATTTATAAATTAAAAAAAAAAAAAAAAAACAAACTTTAGTTATTCTAGTTGATGTGTGGAGTTATGTTTATAGAAGCAGTTAATACAAAGTTAAAAGTTTCAATGAAGAAATATTTAAAAATGTTAAATAAAAAAATATGATAACTACTCACTATTTTCAAATTTTATTAATTTCATTAATTTTATTAATTTTATTAATTTTATTAATTTTTTTTTTTTTTTTTTTTTTTAAATAATTTTTATATTTTCTTTTTTTAAAATATGGAATTTTCAAGTTGTGGGAATTTTCTATATAAGAATTCTTGTAATAATTTGATAGAACATAGTGATGCTAAAAATAAAAGTTCAAAAGATGTATGTCCTAATAATTGCAATGGAAAATTTAATTTAAATTATAAGAGTAATGAAAATGTGAATACATTCAATATTAATAATCATAGAAATTTGAAATCATTTAATATTTTTTCAAGTAGAAATAAAACAGAAAAAAGAAGTGTAAAACATAAAAGAAATTTAAAATGCTCTAGTGAAAAATCAATACATAATAATATTTTTAACATAGAATATAAAGATGAGGAAAATAATGATAGCATAAATTCTAATTTATCAAATTCTTTACAAAAATTAAAGCATTTCCATATACCTTTTTTAAGTAATGATTCTAACCTACCTATTAATTATAAAAATGAAAATAGTTTTATTTTCATGAAAAAACGTATAAAGAATAACTGTTTAGAAAATATAGAAAGTTTTATGAATAATACTGGGGATACAGTTCCAAAGAGTAATGCATATTTAAATGAATTAGAAGAATTTTCTAATAATATGATTTCAAATTATTTAACAGTTGATTCTTTTTTATCTTCTAATACATCTATTTCTAATTATGATTCCTCTTCTTCATCTTCTGAATACGTTTCTTGTAAAAATGTTCATACCAATATGACGAAAAGTAAAATCAATTTTTTTAATTTTCTATCTTTTAAAGATACTAATGAAGGATCACCTGTGGATAACACATATGATGAATATTATAGACAGAATAAAAAAAGTAATTATTTATTACCAAAAATAACAAAAAAGAAAAAAAAAAATAAAAGTAATTTATTTTATGATATTTTAAAAATAATTATGAAATTATGTAATGATATATTTATTAAATCATTTCAAACAATGATATCATATTTCATTACTACCTCTTTTTTTATTATTTTAAATCTATATGTATCAAATACTTGTGATTATTATGAAATAGCAGGATTTGGTGTTGCTATTAGTATTAATACAATTTTATCTTCAGTGATTGATGGTTTATCAAACAGTTTAGATTTTTTTTGTAGTCATTCAATTGGAATAGGTAATATTGATTTTTCTTGGATAATTTTAAATTGCGCATATTTTGTTTTTTTCTTTTTCTGTTTTTTTCTTTTTGTTTTTTTATTTTTTTTGAAATTTTTTGTTTATATTATTTTAAAGTATATTTTTTATAACGTAACTAATGAATACATAGTTACATTCAAGGTATTTTCTTCAACACTTCAAATTTTGATGATTTCTTATTTGCCACTTTTCTTATATGAGAGTACCAGGAGATTTCTGATATTACACAATAATATTTATCCAAGTTTGCTAACATCTATTATTTCTTTTATCTTATTAAATTTATTTTGTTACATTTTTGTATTTAAATTACGTCTAAAATATATTGGAGCATCTCTTTCTATTCTGTTAATGAATATTATTAATTTTATTTTTATTTTATTTTTTTTGAAATTATATATTGAAAAATGCGGATATTCTGCAAAAAATGCACAACTGTTTGAAAAAAAGGAAGGTGGAAAAAAAAAAAAAAAAAAAAAATTATTTATAAGTAATAATAATTACATATATAGAAATAAGGCATTTCATTTAGATGAAAATTATATTAATGAAGAACAGTTAAAAGTAACAAAAGAACAATCAAAAGAAATAAAAATGGAGAAGGATGAATATAAAGAATATTTTTGTGAAAATACATGTGTACATAGTGATTATTACATCAAATCAGATTATTATAATAATAATAATAATAATAATAATAATAATAATAATAATATATTTTCAAAAAGTGATAATTATTCAGGAAAAATATGCTACTATGAAAATTCATTTATGCATATAAAAAATCCAAGTATTTATAATTTTTATTTTCTTTTTTGTAATGTTCCTTCTGATGAAATTATAAAATATTTTTTAAAAATTACAAAAATAAATATAAAAAATTTATTTTTTGAAATTTTAGCTTTTGAATTGCAATTATTTGAATCAACATATTTGTGTTTAACTTCAACAGCAACATTTGTTCAGATAACTAACTTTTTAAATTTAGTTTATTACGTATCTAATTCTTATGGTATATTATTATCTAAAATTACTGGCATATATATAAGTTCTAAGAAGAGAAAAAAAAAAGACAAAAAAATTTCAGAAATTATCTTAGCTTTTATTTTATTATTATTCTTCCTTTATTTTTGTTTGATACTTATGTATATATATCATAAAAAAATTATTCTTTTCTTTTATAGTGATAAAAATTTACAAAATGAGTTAATGAAAATATTTCCTTTATTAACTACTGAACTATTATTTGAAGTATTGTGCTCTTTATTAAATAGTATTATAAAAGGAATTGGTCTACAGAAGGAAATTTCTTCTTTTACTTTTTTTAACTTTATGTTTTTCATGCATCCTCTTGGATTAATTTTAACCTTTTATATGAAATTAGATATATATGGATTTATTTATTCTAATTTAATTAGTATGATAATTCAAGTTATTTATTTAATATGTTTTCTAACTTCTACAATATGGAAGAAAAAAATTTTTTCATAGAACTCTATATATATATTTAAAAGAAAAACCTTCTATTATATATTTATATGTATATCTTTATATTCCTTAATATTCACAAATAAAATATTAAAATATATATTTATTATATTCTTATAAACTTTTTTTTTTTTTTTTTTTTTTTTT